TTCATCATATGGTTCCATTTCCCTGTGGATCACTGCCAATGCCAGGAACCAGAGAAACAGTGGTGAGCAATTCAGCGTGGTCCTTATCGTGACCTTTCCAGAGAGGCAGATAGTACTGAGAGGGCCTCACACACCTTAAGGGGAGGACAGTTGACTGGTCAGCAGAACAGGGCAGGGACGGGTATGTAGTGCACAGAGGACAAGCCTATCATGAGGCCCTGGGGCAGGAGGAACAGGGGAATTTGAGGAACTAAAAGAAGGCCTGTGTGGTTGGACTTAGAGAACAGTGTGGGGGAGGGCTGTAACAAGCTGAGTCTGGAGCTAGGTTATGCAGACTCGTATGGATGCTGAAGGTCTTTGGGGTTTATCTGTGACCATGGGAAATCACTCAAGGCCTTAGTCATCAGAATTGTGAAACTCACTCCATCTCTTTTCAGCCTTAGATTCATGGCTGTAGCTCCCTGCACCTACATTGCCAATAAGCAGGATGCCCTTGTCTCCAATGGAGGAATTCATCCAACCTGTCAATCTTTCTGTAGCATCCAGGGGCCCAGCCATTGAATCTGGCTTAAGATCCAGACTTCTACCATCACAGTAGACTTCTTTCTGTAAAGGGACTTTACTGGGACTACCTCAAGCCAAGAAAGGGGTTCTAATAGCATTGAACCTCAGTCTCATCTTGCTGTTCTTTCTTAGTGCCTCTCTTGCCATGTCCTGTTTCTACTCACTCTTTTGTCCTCCCTGCTTCCCCTTCTCCATGTAGATGGAATCAGCATACTGATTGAAGACAGGTTAGTGTATCAGGGAGAGGCAGTGACTCTCATTGTGCTTGGGGCCCATGGGCATTCTTTAAATATTCAGCCCCTACCCCATGGCCAGGGGTCACCATCCACCTAGAGTCTTTGAATGTCAGTTCTTCCACTCCTGCTAGTTTGTGAGACATTGGTCTCCATACTTCTCAGATGTTCTGAGCACCCTAGGTCAGGCCACTGATCCCTTCAGAGTTTTACAACCTTAGAGTAATAGTGGATGTCCAGGAAATGATAGTTCTAGGATGGACCAGGGAATAGGGACCTTGGTCATAAAGGTACCTTGGTCATTAAGGTGACTTGGTCACCAGTAGATATATACATTGTCCTATCTTCCTGGACATGCCTGATGTCAGGGCCATCAGGGTGTCCCCACTTGTTCATTGTTGACCTTGCATTTTCTGACCCTGACTGAGGCCTAGTTTACTCTGTCATAACTGATCCCAAACTAGGCCAGACTCTAGCTTCCCAGGAAAGAAGTAAACCCATAGCCTGTGTTAATGATGTCTAATATAATCATCCTTGGTATACTTAGAAAACATGTTCCAAGAGCCCCTTGGAACATATCAAAATCCGTAGATGCTCAAGTTTCTTATATAAAGTATTAGCATGTGACCTATATATACTTTTGTGTATATGTTAAGCATACCTAGATTGTTTATAATACAATGTAATGTAATGTAATGTAATGTAATGTAATGTAATGTAAGTGCAATATAAATAGTTATGTGGTATTATTTAGGATTAAATAATTTTAAAATTCTGTACAAGGGAGTCTGAATTCTGGGGAACTGAGGGAGCTTTGGTGAGCTGCCAGCGAGGGGCAAGACTCTGTGCTCCAACATGTGCTGGTATAGTGAAATAAACTCTGATTCCATGAAAATCATGGACACTTTGAAAAGGACAAAACAAAGGAGCAAAATGCAATCTCGGACCTCCACCCCATCCAGAGCAAATCCAGGAGACCTGAACATAGAAGAACTTAGAAGTTACACACTTAATATTTCTGAAATGAAAGCAACTGAAGTAAGAAACAACTATATCAGGCTATAGAAGAAATCAGACCAGAAATAATCTCTCAGCTCGAAAAAGAAATGACAACCATAATGAAAGAATTGCTCAGCATATCAAAAGAAGACAGATAAAGATAGAAGAGCAAATAAAAAGGATGGAAACCTTGAATAAACAATATAGGAAAGAATTTGAATATTCATCAAATTAAAAATTCCATTGAAAACTGGCAAAACTGCTTGAACAAAACTGAGTATAGACTTTCAGACCTTGAAGACAGCATTGCAACTAGCGATAATGAAAAGAAAGATCTCTTAAAAATAATAGTGATCCAGGAAATAACAATTTAACAGCTGCAAGATGAGGCAAAACAAACCAATATAAGACTGATAGGCAGGGGCTGGGGAGATGGCTCAGTGGAATATGCGCTTCCCTGGCAAGCGCAAGGGCCTGAGTTCAATCCCTGGTTCCGCAAAAAAAAAGACTGATAGCCATCAATGTAAAAGCAAGAGGCAACATGAATGACATAAAAACTCTATTTGCTGAAGTAACAGCAAAAAATTTCCCAAGAATGGAAAAAGAATCTGACATACAATTTAGTGAGGCATATAGAACTCCAATTAGCCATAGCAAAAATAAATCCACACCCAGACTCAGAATAATCAAGATCCCAGAAATTCAGCAAGAGAACAGAATAGAATTCTGTACATGTTCAGTACAGAAGCAATTTCTGAGAAATGCTTTCACTGCAGAGCTGGTTGAATGAGCTGATGCAGAGGGCCACTGTGTACAAAGCTCCTTATACTTATTTACTCAGTCTTTCCCAGCAATCCCTAAGATAGCAACAGTTTGACCTTTATTTTAGTTTGTTAAGGTCTACAAGGTTCCTAAGCCTGATATTTTCACATCTTTGGGAAGCAAAGCCTGCCTCCTCACATGATTTTTTTTTTTTTTTTTTTTGTGGCCTGAGGTTGCCTTCAGTGCAGGTCTGGTTCGGCTTGAGTATCTGGGTTTCGAACCACAGCACTCTCAGGCTGACTGCTTTGTTTAAGCAGGCACTTAAACAACTGAGCTAATAGGCAGGCCCTGTATTGTCATAACAGATACAGGAAAAGACAGATTAGCAGCAGCTTCTGAGGCTGCACTCAAACCTGCTGTTTGGATTTAAAAAATTGACATTTCCAAAGTTATTGGGTTCACAAATTCAGTTCCTGATTCTTTTTAGCAAATGTATTTCTCTACAAACTATTTCAAAGCTTCCCAACCAACACATGGAACTTTGATACAGACATGCCTCTTTTAATGACTGAGTTCCATTCCCACGACTAGGTTGTTAAATGAGTTGGTTGCTAAGTGAGGAATTGTGTATAGTATGCACATTACAATATTCAGAACAAGGAAATGGTCAAAGGAAACTCCAATTTAGTAACTTTGCTTTCATTTGCATAACTCTTACATGTAGTACTGTAATACATAACATAAAACTACGTGGTACAACCAGAAAAATTACAGTACTGCATAAACAGGGTGTATTGTACAAAGATATTAATGATCTATAAACAAGATGTATGGAACTGTACAAAAGAGGTGGCTTATAAGTCTGAACAGTAGGTCATATATCTGAACAGCCACTAAATAGACAAGTTATTAAACAAAAAATAATTGAGCCCAAGCTAAAGGGAACAGAAAGTGAGGGCCACATGAGAAGTCCCTGTGGTCAGAATCAGCCTGGCTTCCTGTCTTGGAACCCCTGTGCTTTCCATCCTCATCTCAGCCTATGGGTCAAAGGAGGAGCACCTGGGACTGAGTCCAAGCCCAGGTACAGAGCTAAGGGAAGGTGAGGGCTCCTATCAGATTCCCACTGAGCAATGTATGCATCATGACCCTCACTTTGTGTGTGAGTGCAGGCTTCCTTTCTACACCAGAAGAGACAGAGTTTCAGGGAGCGGGATTGGAAGTAGCACTAGGCTGGTTTGCTTCTTGCCCTCTTCTTTACCTGTATATTAAGGTATCACCCGGGGCAAGGCCCTGATTAAATGCATAATACATAAAACATTTTACACTCTGCACGCCCTTCATCCTACCAGCCAGCCCCCAGTCTAGGGCAGGGTGTTTCAGCCCCATTTTGCTCCTGTCAAGTTGAAGTTTGGATAACAGAGAGCCATGCTCAGCCTTACTCAGCCGGGGACCAGTCTCAGGGAGTCCTGGCTATGCTCCCAGTACGTCAGCATGATGGTTGGAACCGTCAGACACAGCAGTTGTCTGCTTCCTGAGGGAAGAGTGCAAAGGTGTGCAACTAGAGTACTTGGTTCTGAACGTCAAAGAGGAAGAAAAGCGTTTGGAGCACTGGGAGCTTCCAGAGAAGGTGGAGTGAGGACATTTGGAGAAGAGCACAGCAGAGGCCAGGTGTTAGGCTCAAGTATGAACAGAAGGGGGGATAGATGCCTCGCTGTTCCCCGAATCCTGCTATTACCACACAGCTTCTGCCTGGGTGCTCACACAGATCTGGGAAGTCTCAGCCCAGGGCCTTTGCCCTGCTGTTCCCTCTACCTAGAATTCTCTTCCCTTCCTTGAAATGTCACCCAAATGTCTCCTCCTCAGAGCGGCCTTTCCTGGCTACTTTTTCTAAAACAACCATCACCCCTTAAGTTCCTCTTCAAAACCATGTCAAGCTTTTGTTTCCCCTGTAGCACTTGCCACCATGAGGAGCTAGTTGATATAACTTGTTTCTCTTTTGCTTTCCTCCCCTGGAATACTGGAGACTTTGCCCGGCTTGTTCCCAGTGCCCATGGCAGACGCTGTACATAGGATTCAGTAGATACATAGGTTTCGATGAACATATGTGTGCACACGTGAACTAGCGGCGGTCAGTTTTGGGTGGGCACGAAGTTCCAGTCCTTTAGACTCAGCTCAGTTCCCTGCATGTGATCTCTTCTTTTACAAAGATAAGAAAGAACCAGTTTGGCTTCTTACGCCTGAGTCATGCTTGTAGAAGTGAGGCTTGACTCCCATCAGGCATCAGCCTGCTCATCTCCTTGAGGCTGGCCAGCCTGTGTAGGTGATGGGAGGGGCCAGGCCCCGCCTCTTTACTCTGTGCAGGTAATGGGGAGGAGGAGGAGGAGGAGGAGGAGGAGGAGCAGCCTCACCCTGAGAGGCTGGTTACACCTACTGCCCTGTTACTCCTTTATATGGAGCAGCCCAGCCTGGAGCTGGAAGGTGGAAGGCTCTAGAAGACCTGGTGTCCCAGCCGAACTTCCCCATGGCATCAGGTAAGCTCTCTCCAGTCCTCTATCCCATCCATCTGAAAGGTGGGGGAGGAAAATATCTACTTCTGGGACTTACCTAGTGTTTTCAGACTCCTGACAAGGAAATTTTCAGGGAACTGTCGAGAGCATGGAGTTCTAGGCCCTGAGAGACCATGCAGATGCTGGGTAGAGCAGGCTACCAGCTGTAAGAAAAGTCATGGAGCCCTCATAGTGCGTTGGTCATTCACCACTGCTGAGAGTAACACAGAGAGCTCAGAGAATTTCTTCTCTAAAATCAGGAAAAGAACATCATGAGCCTAATGAGAACTATGGACGGAATCTGGCATCCATCCACAAGGTTTGAGGAGTAACAAGAAAGGGCAGGGATTGAAGAGAATGGTGCGATTGGGGCTAGGCAGTCCCAGCAGGTGGCTGTCACCTCAGAATGCACTTCTGCATGTCCAGAACCTTCCATTTCTCAAGGAAAGAACAAGCTGGGTATTGTGGCACATGCCTTAATTCAGCATTCTGGCAGACTGAGGAAGGAGGATCATAAGTTCAAACCCAACCTGGGCAAGATAGCAAGATATTACCTCAAATTAAAAAGTTAAGAATTGTCTGGGAATATAGCTCAAAGTGTAGGCCCTGGGTTCAATCCCCAGGACTGAAAAAAAAAAAAAGCTATTCTGATTTCATTGTATGAGCTATCCTGATTAAATAAAACAATAAAATAAGCAAATATAATAATCTATGAGTTATTGCTTTGTGACCTCTGGTTAGGAAATACGTGGAACAAAGGAAAGGTCTTAGGATTATTGAACCAAACGCCTGGTTTCTAATTTGAATTTGGCTCCTCCTGAGCAGGCTATCTCTCCCCTCTGTGTATCACTTTCTTTCCTGTGGAGAGGAAGCTAGCCGATTCTAGGGGTTTAATGGACATATTAATCACTAACTCTTCTGCAGTACTTGCCACAGCGAAGCACCCTGCTGAGCTGTTGACGTAGCTTATCCTAATTAATCCTCACAGCACTCATATGAGGAAGGACTTGTATTTTCACACAAGGAAATGGGAAGGATGAAGTCATTTGCCAGACAAATGGCCAGAATAAAGGGAGAAACCAGAGCTGACTGTCACTGCAGACAAATGTGTCTCCGAGCTATACCCTGCTCCAGTGGCCCAGGGTAAGATCACGGAGAATTGCTTGGCAAGCCAAAGGAAACAATTCCAAGGGCAGAAATCCTCCCCCTTGCCCCAGTGGGTGTTGAGATCTCTAGTGCGTGGTATTTGAACGTTAGCCTGAAGTCTTACATATTTTTCTAACATAAAATAGGAAGCTAGAACCACTGCCAGAACCAGGAAGTGATCTATTGTGAGGAAATCACCCTATTTAAAAATGGCCCATTCCAAAGTATTTCGAACAGACACACATTGGCACTGAGTAACTATGCAAGAGTTTGAGTTAACTGAATTCAGGAACCCAGTGCAAGCAAGCCTGGTGAAGATGCCATGCTCCATGACCAAAGGAAATACATTCTCTGTCTAAGTCCAAGAGTATAGGAGATGCCAACTGCTGCCATGTAGAGGGCTCCATGAAGAGAGAAGTTCAAGAGGTGTGTGGCTTGAACTTAGGCCTGGGACAGTGAAGGCAGAGAAGCAAGCTGAGAACAGGACTGCTCTGCAGTACCAGGTGCACTGTTTTCCCCCCGGATCTCTGCACCCTCTCTGCCCAGTGCATCCCACCCCTTGCCTTGCATCTGGTTGGTCTAAAGAGGGAGGAGGGGAGGGTGGAGCAAGAGGAAGAGGAAGAGAAGGAGGAGAAGGAGGAGGAGGAGGAGGAGGAGGAGGAGGCAATAATCATGAAAAACGTAAATCCTTTTAGGAACCTCACTTGAAAAAGCTTTAAGCTACTAGATGTTGATAATATCTTGACTATGCAAGTAGAAGAGATTAATGATAATGACTTCACTGAGCGGTAACTTGACCAGATTTATTGATGCAGTTGATCAATACTATATCCACTATGGTCCCTTCCTGCCTCAGAAAATTTTTTGAATCTCTCTCTCTCTCTCTCTCTCTCTCTCTCTCTCTCTCTCTCTCTCTCTCTCTCTCTCTCCCTCCCTCCCTCCCTCCCTCCCTCAATTACATCTGCTAATAAAAGGAGGCTAAGTTGCCAAAGTGCAATGATTAACAGTTAATTGTGTTTGTAATTTATGGCACCAGGTACCAGGAGTGTCAGTGGGTTTTAAGGTTTCATACTCTAGAGTGGTCAGTTATGCTGGATTTTCAGGGACTCAAGTTTCCTAGCACTTAGAACTTCTAATAATAGAATGAAGAATGTCCCAAGCAAACCTGGGTGACTGGTCCACTTAGCATGAAATCAGATGAAGACCCTTCCTTGTAACCTATGAGTATAAAAGGCTTGGACTCAACCTTTCCTCACTACCACCCCCCCAAAAAAAAACCTCCCTAAATTTTCAAGCATTTGTGAGTTAAATAACTTCTCTGATGTATGAATTCAAACCAAAAGGAACACCATTAAAACAGGCAGAATTCTTGCTTCAGTTTGCTGTGGAATGAAGCAGAGAGGGGACAGCTGGCTGCCTCTTTGGTAAGACTGTACTGGGAAAAAGAAGAACGAATTTAGATTCAGGTTCTGACTATGCCAGAGTCTGGTTTAAGTGATTTATATTTCTAAGCCTCGTGTTGTTTTTCTAAAAAGCGGCTGTGAGAACATTCCCATCAGGAAAGTAGGTTGGTAGCCCACCTTGCACAGCTAGCGTGAGGACGAGATTTATAGGAAATACCACAACACAGTTGGAGATGTAGCTCAGTGTAGAGTGCAAGCTTGGCATGGACATGGCCCTGGTTCAATCTCCAACACCAATCAAAGATGCAATAACACAGCTACCCTCTTGCTCAGAGTCCCTGTCCTGTTCCTTTTCCTCTCACAGAGAATCAGGCTTATAAAGATAACCAGCAAACTCAAGACAGCAAGAGCAAACATACCTCAGCAAATCCAAGAAAATTAGACAAATGATAACAAACCCAAAACAAATCCATAAACTGTGAGAGCAAAAACCATCTTGGAAGACTCTAAACTTCAGGAAAGGACTCATAGGGTTTATTCTTTGGATCTGGGAGGAAAGTGAAATTTTTACTAAGCAGTAATTATTAGTGATTGTTTTGTTCACCAACCCCTGAATGCCCTTCACAGCCAGGAAAACAGATGTGGCCAACCTGATATCAGGAAGACAGAAGTTTGCATCTTGCAGGGTAGAGATATCCAGAAAAACAACTGCCTCCAGGCCTGGCCTGTGGCCACGGAGTGGCTTCAATAAACCATTGGACTAGCCAGGCTACTTGGCAGGGTTGGCTAGGTAGAGACTGACAAAAGGAAGAGATCAGATTATTCTGTGTCAAGGGAGGGGTATTGGGGAATTTTTTTTCTTCTTTATTTACTAATAAATTTACTTATAACTTGAAAAGAACAACTGGAGCCTTTGTGCTGTTAGCTTTCCAAAGTTTAGACAATAGTACCTGTGCCACAGTGGTGTGTGCTGTAACACTGAGGCGCTGGCTGAAGACTAGGAGATGAGGCTGCTGCAGCTCAAGGTGCACATCTGATTGCCCAAAGCTATAGGTGTAAACCACAGAGTGTGTGGGTGATCCAAAACAGCTTCACGAGGTACAGGGGACCATGTTTAAACCCAGATTCATTCAGGTTTCCTGATAAACTGAATTTATCAGTAGGGCTATTTTTTTCTGCAAAGAGGACGAAACCTGTAGCAAGAACTATTAGAGCTCAAAGGAAGGACATTGGAGTTGGACAGTGAAGGAATGATTTCACACTAGGAAGAGTGAAGAGCAGCCACATCTCCCTGTCCCTGCAGGGTACTAGAGCCAGCGAGTCCTGATACCACCTCCTCATTTACTGATACTATGATGTTGGCTTGAAGCCGCCCATGATACAATTATCTACATCTCCAAAACTGGTAAATACTACAGACCCAAACTATTTTGGAGCTTTAGTTGTTAAATGTTCATCAGCATGTTGCTTTTCTGTCTTTGGGATTAATCATCTCAATTTAAGCCTAATTCTTCTGTCCACTATCCTTGGGATGATCTTAGTAAAACAAGTCTGACATCATCCTCTGATTCCCTTTTCTTTAAGATACATTTCCAGTTTCTTGGGGTGGCATTAAAGGTTTTCCCTCCTCTGCATCCAGCCCAACTTCACAATCACTTTATCTCCCTTCTGAAATAGTCCTCAAACTCTAGCCATCTTGAATAATAAGACTTTTTGAAAATGATGTCATCGAGGGGCTGGGGAGATGGCTCAGGGGCTGGGGAGATGGCTCAGTGGAATAAGTGCTTCTCTGGCAAGTGCAAGGGCCTGGGTTCAATCCCCAGTTCCACCAAAAAAAAAAAAAAAAAAAAAGAAGAAAGAAAGAAAATGATGTCATCGGGATCTACCTCTGGCATAGGGTTTTGGTTTTTTGTTTTTTTTTTTTTTTTAGAACCAGCTCTCCTGCTGAGAATACTAGAAATGCCAGAGAAAATTAATTTCTAAAAGATCTGTTTGGAAGTGTCAGGGACTGGCCAAGGCAATGAAAAACTGCAGGGCCCCAGGGAGGTGGAGTTGAGCATTGGGTCCTTGTACCCCTGGGTGCTTTTTCAGGTTTCAAAAGGTTGAAGCCAAGAGGGGTGCTAAGCTCATTGGTAGAATGCATTTGTCCATAGGTGAAGCCCTAGGTTCAGTCTCCAACACCACAGCCCCCCAAATGTCTATAGCTGAGCTTTTGAAGACTCATGGGTCTTGGTTGGTAGGGAGGGGATAAAGTTTGTACTTTTTGTTCAACTAAGGAAGAAAACCAACTATAAGCTTCACCCACTTTGTGTTGGGACTCAGGAGGGTTAGGAGTGGATCTGAAATGGAACAGCCCTCTCCAGTCCTGGAGCCTACCTCTGAATCACCTCAAGACCTGTTTGTGTAAAGGTCACTTAGGTCTACAGTGAACCTAGCCCATCTGCCCAGAAGAAACAAAATAACTGGTCTCTGGGTAAAGATAACATCACTCAGAACCCTGAATCATCAGCAGTGTTTGGTAAACAGTGTTTAGTGGACCATAAGAACTAATAGACAGGTTGCAACGGTCAGCTTTGTGTTATACAGTGAAACAGCTGTGATCATGAGCTCATCAAGGGAAAGTTTCATGGTGCTCATGATTTTCAAAGTTCTAGCCCAAGACTGGGCATCTGGTGGGAGTACCAGATAATACTGGTGGAGGGTGAGCGATGAAACCCACTCACTTCATCAAACAGGAATCAAAGAACAAGAAGCAGGAAGAGAACGGAGCTGGGCTCCTACAATCCCCCTTGAAGACACGTCTCCACCCACCTAAGTAACTCTACTAGGCTCCACCTCTAAAGGTTTCCCTACCTCCCACTGTGCCAGTTGGGAACAAAGCCACTAACACATGGGCCTTTGGGAGTACTTAGCCAAGCCATAGCTTCTTTTGTGCAAGACAACCTGCTTATTAATGGAAGAGAGACAGCAGATGGGAACCCAGTGGGGATTCAAATAATAAAATGATCAAGAATAGACTTTAGAAGATCTCTTCATAATATGCTTAATGATGTAGAAGGCAAGGTTGAAAATTTTGACCCAGAATAATGAAAAAGGAACAAACTATATATCCTAGAACTGAAAAATGTAATTAGTTAAAACAGAAATAGTTAAAATTTCTTGAACACTTCCCCGGTGACCAGTGTCATGGCGAACACTTCACAGGCGTCAACCTAGTACATCTGTGAAGTTGGTTTCAAGTTCTTGCTGTGAAGAAGGCTCAAGGTCCCTCTGTCTATGAGGTGATACTCTCTTTAATATTTTACTGTCTCTCTAGCTGTGTGATAGCCACATCTAAGATGTGGGCAGCTTGATTCTGTTTCTCTGCCTCCACAGAACCCCTTTCCACAGGGCTTTGTGGTTTCTGTTGTCAATAGTGTCTGTGCTCAGTTTGTAGAAGGCATTAGATCATTGTGGGGACCAGAAGCTTGGAGGAAGTCTCCAGGTATTGACTGGGAAGGCCGATTTCGTCATTAAACTTTATTCAGGAAGCAGAGAGCTGGGGGCTGAGTACCCAGACTGAGAATAAGTTTAGTCAGAGATACCCTGTGGGCCAAAATAATAGGGACACCAACTGCTTTGGTGAGGTAAGACAGAACGAAGAGAGGACTTGAGGCTAGAAGCATGAGGAGAAGGCAAGAGCTTCCCCTGCTTCCCTTTTGCTGCCCCTCCTCTGGATTGGGAACAAGAAAGGGGGTGGGTGAGTGTATAGGGAAAGGAGCCTGAGTCAGTGCACAGAGAAAGGAAGGCGGGCCAGTGTGAGGGGCTGGAAGGCTGGGAGGACAGGGCAGGGCTGCAGATGTCGGGGCAGTGTGACTCATCTTTCCCACGTGGGGCAAAGAAGCACGTGCTGTTGTTACTGGGTCAGTACTTCCCATGTGTCACGTGACTGTATCATGTGCAGAGCCTTATTTATCCTCATAGCAACCCATGGTGTGACTTTTGTTATTAGCCCATCTAACGGATACTGAAACTGAGACCCAGACAGGCTCCACACACACATTGTCTGAGGTGGCTTAGCTCATATATGACACAGGAAGATGCAGCCCAGGACAGCGCCAGAGACTTCCTCCTCACATTCCCAGAAAGAACATGCTGGAAGCTTGGGGGCGGGAGTTGGTGGGAAAGGACGCAGACCTGAGAAAGTCCAGGAACCCCGGCTACTGCTCTGCGGGAGAAAAATCTCTCTTTCTCTTTTAATTTGAGTTGGGGTCAGCGAAACATTGACCCATGGGCTGCAGTATGGGTGCAGCCATTGCTTGAGACAATGTCAGAGGGTGGGGGCCAGATTAGAGCCCCAACTTCTTATACTGGGAAACCACTTCTGTAATCTTTTGGGGCACTTTTTGAGAGGATGCTGGTTTTCAAATCCAGGAAGGTGTTAGAGGTCATATAAGAAAGATGAACAGGAGAAAGCTGTCAGTGTTGGGGACTAGTGGCTTCAGGTTTGTGGGTGGTGCTAATCCCTGGGCATGAATAATTGATCCAGAAGGTTTAAATGTTAAATCAACAAATTCTGGAAGTGGAAAACAACTAGTCAGGTTTATAGACATCACTTCCTTCAACCACTGCTTGTGAAAATAATTTAAGCTAATAAATGAACAAACAGAACACCCCCTCCCAGTTACCCCCATGGCCTTCAGGGGTGGCTGTCATATCTCTATCATGTTTCAAAGAGGTGAATGACTCACCCCTTGTGCAGACAGTGTGCGCCATTTGGCTTGTCCAAGGGTGAGATGTGCGGAAATGTTTGCTCTGAAAGAGGAGCTCTTTACTGACTTGAGAAATTCATGTTTTCCTACTTTGGCTGAATAATTTAACCCTCATTTGAACATAGACTCTGATTTGTTGATTGAAAATACCCAATCAAACACATTGAGATGAGCAATTGTAAAACAACCTGCGGCTAGGGGTCCGAAGACCTTCATTGCTCAGCTTAATTTGGCATTCACAAGCTCTGTGACAGGGTCTTCCCTTTCTGGGCCTCCTTCAAACAATGATAGGGTGGAATAAGGCACAGTTTAGTTCTGAAATGCTAAACTATGTGCTTCCCCAATGGCAATTCCATTGTGTAAATCACAGAAGAAACTCTCCTTAGCTTTTGTGTATCCAGAAAATGGGAGTGTGTTTAGCTCTCCTCGGCACGTCTAGCATTCTATGAGGAAAGAAGTTCAAGTTTGTTGGTGCTCACTATGTGCCAATAATTTCCTTCTTCCTTCCTTCCTTCCTTCCTTCCTTCCTTCCTTCCTTCCTTCCTTCCTTCCTTCTTTCCTCCCTCCCTCTCTGTCTCCCTCCCTCCCTCTTTCCCTCCCTCCTTCTCTCCCTCCTTCTTTCCTTTTCTCCTCCTACCCGTAAGGAACACATGATCATTTTCATGGTGAGATCGAGAAAACAAAGACCCAAATAAATGAAATGACTTCCTCAAAGTCACAAGGATGGTAAATGGCAAGTGGCAGAGATGAAATTTGGATCCATCTCTATCCAAGTGCTATGTTCACTCCACTTTTGTGAGCCCATGACTTTAAAGAGGGAATGGTGGGAAGAGAGTTGGTTCAATACCCTCCTTAGAGCAGGGGTCAGCAGATTTGGAGCAAAACCTGGCCTGACCAGTGTTGAGTACATAAAGTTGTACGAGGGAGTCCTGGGATTTCTGATCCACAGATTGTGACTGCTTTCACACGATAGAGCCAACCTGAGTAATCCTGCCAGGGACTGAGTGGGTCACAATACCCAGCATGTTTACATTTCGATCCTGTACACAGTGTTTGGCAATCCCCAGTCCAGAGTCCAGCAGGTTTTTTCCCTCCCTCAAAGAACACAGAGTGACGTGAAATTATCTTTTGTGTTGGGAGCTCTGTCACTCGGTGATGTGGTGAAACGGAGATGCTTCCACTCACATGTGTTTGCTAAAAAGTTAATGAACTACCTCAGGATACCTGACAAGGAGATCAGGGAATTTGGTTTTCACTGTGCTCTTCTTCCCAGGAACTCAATGAAGGGGAAATAGAATCTCAATTTTGGGGAAATTGCACAGGGGAAAAGGGGGAGGGGATTAGTTACAACACCGCATTGCGACATTCACGGGCGCTGAAAGTGACAACAGCGAGGGTTTCTCATTTTGGAAATGTGAGGGTATTTCCGCTTCAGGGCAGGATGGCAGCAGCTCAGCTCGGTGAGTGACTACTTTCTTTATAAGCAGCAACTCTGGGCCCGAAATGGCAGTCTCCCCTGCCTTGCAACGGCCACAAGATGGAAGTCTTCAAGGGCCCCTACAGTCTCCTATTCTTTCTCCTCTTCCTGTTCCATTCAGAGGCAGCCTGCCGCCCCTTTGGGAGAAGGCTCTACAAGATACACTCCTTTAGGTAAGGCTGTCTGGAGGACGCGGGGTTGATGATGGGCAGGAGACAAAGACGCATCTCAGCCAGCCGGGGCTGCTGGCTCTGGAGGGCCTGCAAAGCTGGGTTTGGGCTGGAAAGCAGTGTCCATTATTCGAAAGCAGCCTACCCCAGGCTTGGGCTGTAGGGCCTGCATTTCAAGAGGCCCTTAGGTGTGAAAGCAAGACCACTGCCAGCAGGCCCAGGGACTCAGGCAGCGGGGTGAGACTCATGTCAAGACGCAGTGTTGGCATTAGGGCTGGCAGGGGCGGAAGCATGGGTCAGGGCATAGCCCAGAGCCCAGACTAACTGCTCTAGCTCTCTGGAGGACTCAGTTCGCTCATCTGTGATGCAGCGCTCTTACTCACTCCCTGTGTACCTCACACAGGTGTTGAGAAGATGAAGGGCGCAGGTGATAGAGAGCCTGTGCTCTGGGAGCTGTGGTGTGCCTGGAAAGAACGATGATTTTAAAACTTGGGCCGGGGCCCTGGGAAGTGTCGTCATCTCTGTAGTAAAACTGTCAGGCTGTGATGTTGATAACCATGAGTGCGTTCTCTGGGCATGCCCTCAGCTGGAGATCCCTGCCCGGAATGAAGTCATCTCGGGTGACTTCTTCTTCTTCGACCCCCATCCCCACGTGTTTCTGGGGCTAGACTGCAGTTTGGGACTCTGAGTGGATGCGCATATACATGCATCCCGGGCAGGTCCCTCCCTTCCCAGACTCAGAAGCTGACTGCTTCAGGAGGTTGCCTGTGCAGCCTCTCTGGCCAGCTGGGAGCTCTGGGAGATGCCCCTGGAGACCTCTAGAGGGGATGCGGAATCCTTCCTGACTGAGACTGGTCTGGAAACTGAGCCTATTCACAAAAGGCCTATTGTGCACACACACAATGCACTGCATTTGCCCCGCTGTCCCTCCCTGAGCACATTGGCTGCTCCAAGCCTCCAGACAAGGCAGGCGTTGCTAGTTACACTTCTCAGGTGAGGAGCAGAGCTCAGGCTCAGTGTCATGCTGGCCAGAGCTCTGGTTACGGCATCTTAAGGCTGCCAATCCTGCTCTCAGCCCGAGCGTCCCTTACAAAGAAGAGAGGGCTGAGATCCACCAGCAGGGCATTAGGTGAATTAGAAAAGAAGCCACTGTGTTCCCAGGGACAACTGCCCCTGTCAGACTGAGAGCGAGTCACCAGTGGATGGAAGATACGTTTTAGCAACAGGCCCTCCCAGTCCAAGGCTCAGAGTGAGTTAGGCACAAGTTGTCCTGTCCCTTGAACTTCCACACTGTGGTAGCCACTAGTCTCGGGTGACAATTTAATTCTACCTTTAAGAGAAAATAGAATTTAAAAGTTTACCTCCTCCTTGGTGGCAGCATCCACAGTTCAGGAGCTGAATAGTCACAGAGAGTCCACGGCTAAGGCACTGGGCAAGGCTAATAGGGGCCATCCCTGCAGCCCACATGATTCTGCAGATCGGAGATGCTGTGGAGCAGTTGCGGCGAGCCTATGGCACGTTTGTGTCACTGAGGCTCTAAAAGTTTCACCTTTGCTGCTCTACAGCACACTCTGCTGCCATGGGATGTGGCAGGTGGGGAGTCTGAGATGAAGGGACAAGGTGTGGGCCGGTAGGAAGGAGTCCTTAGCTGTGGCGGCTGGGTTCACGGCTCACCTTATGTCCACCTGACACTTCGCATCCGTGCTGCGGGTGTGCTAAGTGCCCCCCACCCCTGACTGAGGTGGCTGCAGTGAGGTGAGCTCTGGGGGACTGGTGAGTGCTGAACCCACTTCAGCCACACAGCTGCTGTCCACTGCAGCTGGGTCCCTTTGCTTTTCAGAATCTGGGATGTTAACCAAAAGACTTTGTACCTGAGGAACAACCAACTTGTCGCTGGATACCTACAAGTGCCAAATACTGACTTAGAAGGTGAGTGGTTTTCCCGGAGTGACAGTGCTGTGTGGGCATCGGGTGCCCCTGGGTTCCACAGCATCCCAAGGAACCCTGCAGCCTCCTTAACCTCGGCTGAGTTGGGAGCCCAGGAGACTTGGGAGGTGTGAGCACAAGAGGGTGCATATGAGTACAGCCTCCAGAGGGCAGGCGAGGTAGAGGCTGAGTCAAGGGCCACCACCTATCTGCACAGGGACCCAGGACCAAGCTGGGAAGGGCAGGAACCAGAAGGCAAGACCAACCCTGCCCCCTTGGGCCAATTCCTTTGTCATTCAAATCCTAGAGTTTCCCTAGATGAGTACACTGTATGCCAGGGTGGGCACCACCCTTTATTCATGAGTACATCACATCCTGGTTCACACTCCAGCCACCAGGGAGGACTTGAACTTGAACTCTGCTCCTCAGATCTCCCTGTAGTAAGATGAGGACAGTTGGGTGCAGAATTTGAAGTTCAGCACTGATATTTTTTTCTTTTTTTTTTTTTTTTTTGAACCGGGGATTGAACTCAGGCCCTTGCTCTTGCCAGGCAAACACTTATTCTACTGAGCTAACTCCCCTGCCCCAGCACTGGTATTTTTAATGCTTTCCATCTGGTGTGGCATACAAGGATGTTACCTCCTCCTCCCCGCCTTTCCCTAATCCCTTCTTCTCTCTCCCCTCCTTTACTCTGAAAGAAGGTAGGAGACCTCTGTTTCCTGCCTGGCTGTAATTTTCCAGCGGACATACTAAAGCACAGGGAGGTTGCATTCTCACTGCCACACAAGGGCGTGGAGAAGGTGTTTCCTTGCCTGGAGCCCTCAGGTGCCACCACCACCGCAGTGTACCCGTGGCCTGGGGTGCTGGTCTTCTGGGGCAAGTGGGAGAGGACTGAACTTATGCGGAGCAGAATGTGGGAGATGCGGCCCTTCGGGAGTCACTAAGCAGTTGCTTAGCTTGATCTGCTTGCTTGCACCAGAAAGGGAAAGCTGTGGTGTCATTCTGGCCTTAAGATTTTAGCTGAGGAGAGGAAAGAAAAACTAATCAAGGTCTCTTCCCCATCTCTGCCTGCCCCTGTTTCTGCTCTTCCCAGAAAAGATAGACCTGATCACCATCGACCCTCAGACTGTGTTCTTGGGGATCCGCAAGGGGACGCTGTGCCTGTCCTGTGTCAAGTCTGGAGATGATAGCAGGCTCCAGCTGGAGGTAAGAGTGTGCTTTAGACAGCCAATCACTCCAAAGCCCTTGTGCTCAGATAAGCACCTCATGTTCTTCCAGCCCCATGGGTAGGTTGTGACCAGCTGGGTAGTTCATTCTGTGCCCTGGGGAGGAGCGTGCTGGGCCACACCTGCCTCCTCACTCCACAGTGCACCTGCTGGCTCTGGATGGCCTACCATGCTTTCTCGTCCTCCAGCCTCTCCTTCATGGTCACTCGGCATTCAGTAGCTTTAGCCCAAGCTTCTTTACAGTGATTGTGGTGGCTTTGATGAAGGATCATTCCTAAAAGCCATGCCTCAGTGGGAAAGTGCCCGTCAAACTTTTGATCCTATGGGCCACAGCCTTTCATGTGACTAAGTCTGCACTCGGTATGGGAGGGGACTGCAAAAAGGTGTAAATACTTGTAGAAGATAGAGGTTGCTGGGAACCACCCCAGGATCATCTGTCACAGGACCTGATGCCTCTATGGACCACAAACCACTTGGGCTGCTTCTAGAAAAGCCAACCCCTGGGCATTTCGTTTTCTGGTCCTTACCCATGTATCTTGGCAAGGTAGCCTCCCATCCGGACACTCATTCCTCCCTGATCCTTGCAATAGTCGTGGGTCACCTAGTCCTGAGGAACAGTGACTTTGTTTCAGGATCTTTTGAGGCCAGCTCATCACCAAGATGTCAATGGCCATAATCACGGAGCTGTCATTTCTCTCCACTAATAGAAACTGATACCCTTTTGGAGGAAAACTCCCTGTTCTGTGTGGAGAGATGGCCAGGATGCTGCATGTAACATTAAATTAGATTCTATATTCTATTACCCTTCTCCACCACCCCATCCTCAGAGTTTCAGACCCTGACAGCCCCAGCTTCATGGGGTTTGGCCTCTACTGATGGGGAATTTGCCAGACTCACTGGCTTATGGCCAATGTGGGCACATTTCCAAAGTCAAGGTGTAACAATGGGACAACCCTTTGTACCACTATTGTCCTAGGGGACCATGTTTTCCAGCCAGCTCTTCAGACCAGCATTTGTCTAGCAATGTGGGCTAGTCAGAGGACTACAGCATGGTGGAAGGGGAGAGACCAGCAGCCTGGGCTCACTCAAACTGTCTGTGTCTTGCCATCTAGGCAGTTAACATCACTGACCTGTACAAGAACAAGGAGCAGAACAAGCGCTTTGCCTTCATCCGCTCTGACAGTGGCTCCACCACCAGCTTTCAGTCAGCCGCCTGCCCAGGCTGGTTTCTCTGTACAGTGATGGAAGCTGACCAGCCTGTCAGCCTAACCAACAATACAAAAGACTCCAGAAAGGTCACCAGGTTCTACTTCCAGGAGGACAAGTAGTCCTGCCCAGTCCTGCCCTGTCCTACTACTTCCCAGCCATCAGTGGCTCCAGGAACTGCCCTCTGCCTATGCTCAGGGGGCTCCTGGCTGTCACAGAGATGCAAGGAGCAGCTTTAGCAAGGGGACTGTGGAAGGAAGCTCCCCGCCGACAGGACTCTGCCTCCAGCCTCTCGCGGACAGCCTCTGTGTCGCCTCTAGAACGGTCCTTCAAACAGCCCCAGCTCAGAACTCTTCCGTGCGCTCTGCCACTGCACCCCTCAGCACCCCGCTGCCTCTGGTGTCTGCACTCCCCATCCCTCCTCACCCCACTGTCCATTGCCAAACCCAGCAGGTCACTAGTGGACCCCACCGAGTGATTCCCACCAGCCAGTGCTGGTCCCTAGGGAGGTTTGTCATTGTTTCTTTCATTGTGGGCACTGGGGATCAAACCCAGGGCCACATGCATGCTCAAAACACACACACTGTACCACTGCGCTGCACGCCCAGTTCATGGGGACATTTTTAAGAATCTGAGGAAACAGAAATTCAGGAGTGTATGGTGATTTTAAAGCCAGATCTATTCAGTGTGGAAGAGAATCCTTCATTTGGAGGTCACACTCCTTTTGAGGGGCTGAAGGATTACAATGTTCCTCCTTCTAAATCATGTCAGAAATGGGAAAGTAGGTGATAGTTTTCTTTCTTTTCTGGTAATATCTCAAGTTGTAAAAATTACAAGTTAGTGGACTACCTTGGCTCCCTAGTCTATTTTTACTTTTTGAAGCATTCCCATAGTTGGGCCTCTCTGCCAGGGCCAAACACCACCGCTACTCCAGATGGTCCACAGTGGCCTACGGTAATGTCCCTCCACAGGAGTTCCCCAACTCCTCACTGTGCACATGTGGCTCCCCAGGGTCCTTCCCTTGTAGCCAAGGGGGAGAGAACCCACAAATCACTCTCTGGCCATGTGGCCCTTTTGACATTGAGATGCTGCAGCAAGATGGCTGCCCATCCATCTGTCCCCCAGAATGCTGGGAGCTCCGGAGAGCAGAAAGCCTCACTGAGTCCTGACTCCCTGCAGGGCAGAGCACCGGGCCTGACCCTCATATGTACTCTGTGAATGTGTGTTGTATGTGGTAGGTGGATAACTCCTTACTCCGTGTGGCGCTAGCTGTGTTTTACAGTAAAATCTTGAAAATGCCTACATTGTTAGCTGTTGCTTGGCTGTGCAAGCTCTGGGCATAGACCCCGGGGTGTGGGGAGGCCAGAGGTTCTTTTCACTCCCGGGGCCTCTGGGAGTCCGTCTCCTCCTTGGCCTTCACGCTCCCTGGATAACTTGAGAGCAAATGTCCCTGCCTGTAAGGGGTAGGACAGCACTGTCCACGAAGAGCTCCAGACAGGGACAACCCAAACGCCCACCACTGAAGGAACAAACTTGTGATTCTGAGTACACACAATGCGAGGTTCCCCATCCAAGACAATCAGTGAACTTGAGCCAGCTGAGCCCAGCTCGACAGGGGAAGCTCACAAGCATGTGTTGGGTGGTAAGAGTCACAAAGCTCAGACGCTTTGCACTACGTTAAAAGCAGCAGCTCACAGACAAGCTGTAATTAGGGACAAGGCAGCAACGCAGGCCCGCGGGTGGGTCCTGAAACCACTGCCTGTTCTCGCGTTTGGCTTGCGTACGCACGGGTGCGTTAGCTAACATCTCAGAGTCCGCTTTCTCATCTCTAAAATGTAGATGATGGCAAATGTGGAGGGCTGAGCTACCCCCTCCAACCTCAGCAGTGGCCTTTGTACTGCAGAGTAATATTAATGTGACTACTGCTGAACTGGTCGCCTGTAGTACCGCTGCTACTACTGCTAGTCCTGGAGGAATCAGTGCACAGAGACACTCGCTTAAAGCCTTGTTGCTCTGAGTGCAATCTGGGGACCAGTATCCTCCGTGTCACTCATGAGTGAGAAATGCAACTTCCAGGATTACAGGTGTGCGCCACCACGCCAGGACTCAGTGGCCAGCTCAGCGCACCTGGGGGCGGGGCTGGCGTGGTATGTGGTGCTAGGGATCAAACCCGGGTCCCTGCTCTTGCCTAAGCAGTTGTTTAGTCTGCTCAGCTATCTCACAGCCCATGGAGGTGAAAGTTTGAGAAATGCTGCTTTAAATGTGGCGTGTTGCATAGCATAAGATCTGATATCCTTATCAAAGTGTTTCTCATAGTCATAAACCCGATTCATATCCCTGCATTTATTGACCATGGATGAAAATACCCCTTACTTCTTTATTTAGACATCAAGAGTGCTGTATGATAGCCCAGTGAGAAACCTTTGGGTCATCACCATCCTACTAACTTCCTACGTGCGCAGGAATTTCCATCTCTTTCATTGTCTGTGTATCCCAAATAGCGTAATCAATGCTTAGTAGGCCACAGCTACTTGGGGAACCATGGGTTGGTCACCAACATACCAATATGTTGCTCAGCAATTTGAGGAGACTGGGAACTCAGTAAGATCTAAGAGGTCAGTTAAAAAAGAAAAAGCCCAGGAATTTGGAGGCTGATCAAGAAAAAGAAAAAAGATATGACCACCAGGTGGCAGTAGAACTCACTAGCTTTTCTGGGCAACACTGAGACGTCTGTATCGCTGTTCCTTGCCACAGGAATCTGTCTAGAGACTGGGGCAGAGACGAGAACCTACTCAGAAAGGGAGGACAGCAGGTAATTCCCAGGGGAGAGAGACCTGGGCGAGGTTCTTTACATGTCTTGGTGTCTTAGTTACTTTTCTCATTCCTGAGGCAAAATACACAACACCCAGCATTAAAGGAGGGAAGGTTTATTTAGCTCAGTTTGTAGAGGTTTCAGTTCATAATCGGCCAGCCCCAAGGCAGGGTGGCACATGGCCGAGGAGAAAACATACATAGCAATGGATGACACAAAAGCAATAGGAGAGGGAGAGACAGGATTCCTTCTGTCCCTTGCTGTATGCAGGCTACCTGCCCTAGTACAGAGGTAGCACCTCACCCTTTAGCCCAGCATCGAAGCATGGATCAGTCACACACCCTACATTCAGCCACCTCTGAAAAACCCTCCCCCTGTAGGACTGCATGAGGCTTGGGGAGGACAAAGGACATCTAGACCCAAACATTGACACTTGGTGGTGTTACTCAGCAGCAGGGTTCAGGGTGGGACTTACCCTTGGCTGGAGGGTACAGGATGGTTTCATGAGATACTGTTTTCTGGGACTCCAAATGGCTAAAGACTGTGACTCTTTGTAGAATAAATGGGTGTGCTAACACTGGAGTTTGGCATTAGTTAAGGTTTTGACCTAATGAGTCTGGTCTCAGCCTGCAGTGAACAAACCGGTGTCCATAGACAGAGGCAGCCTGTGGCTCATTCATATGACACCAGGAGGGAACACAGCTCAGGAAAGCCAGGCTAGGGTGACATGTTGAGAGGCAGTGCAAGGGTGGCTCGGAGGTAGGGGGTCACAGGGAAGGGCATTGGGGGGGCCCCAGGCAAGGATCTGCACGGATGTGGGCTTGTCTCTTACCTCTGAGTCCGGCCAACTAGAACACCATAGAATCACAGAACCACCAGTTCAGAAATTCAAAGTGAATCTCTCCTCAAGGCTCTCTAGTTTCTGTGGTCTAGTCAGTTTGCCCGCTGACTCGCTGGGTGGCCTCGGTCAGCAGCCTCCTTTTCCAAGGCCTCCATTTCCTCCCTGGTAAGAGGAGAGGGGTGTGCTAGGTCTGTGTTCTCCACAGCCTCACTTGTGGAGCTTCTGCAAAAGGATGCCGATTCATAACCTCACCGTCTCTACAGAGTCTGATTCACTCGGTCTGTAGGAGGCCTGGGGCTGGTAGGACATCAGCTTGCCAGGGCCAAAGCCCTCTGGGTCTCCAAGGTTGAGATTGCCCAGCTACTTCTGCCTAGTGGCACCTGTTAATGCAGATAGAGGAGGTGGCCTTTCACTTCAGGGGTGGGCTCCCTACCCTGTGCTCGCCACATTCCCCCTTCCTGTTCCCTTCTCTGCTTTCATATTAACACAGTAGCTAAGGCATTGAGTTCTTTTCTTCCTTTTCTTCTTTTTTCCTTCTTGCTCTCTTTCTGTGCTCCACTGTTGGGGTATAATAGTTACAACTCTTTTTTTTTTTCCCGGAACCGGGGATTGAATTCAGTCCCTTGTGCTTGCCAGAGAAGCACTTATTCTACTGAGCCATCTCCCCGGCCCCATAGTTACAACTCTTAAGGAAATCAAATAATTCTGTTTTTCTCTTAGAATGGCTATAAGATCTCTAAGCCTCAGCAGCACACTCCAACATGCTTGATAGTAAGCCCAACTCACTCACAAAAGTTTAGGGAGCTAGTGAAATAGATTTGGGGGTTCTTAACCCCAAAGTTTGAATAAAGGGCTCATTGGCTATTTGAAGGGAATTACACCTTTGGATCTCCAGCACTGGGGCAAGAAAAGAAGTTCAAGAAATGTCCACCAGGGGGCAACCTTCCATAAGCGTCTGATACTCTGCTCTGGAAAGAACTTTGGGGAGACCGAAGGGGCGATTGGTTAATTTCCTGCTCTGTCTGATGAAATAAATAAATAAATAAATAAATAAATAAATAAATAAATAAATAAATAAATAAATAAATAAATAAATAAATAAATAAATAAATAAATAAATAAATAAATAAATCGCGGCAAATAAGGAAATGCTGGGCTTTCATCCCGTAGAAAGTTTTTTTTCATTCACCAAATCCAGCTTATTTTGAATAGTTAATTCATAAAGTGCATGTATTTCATAGAGTATGCTGATGCGTACAGTACATGTCTATTCTCTAAAGGGTGAGGCCTTGGCTGTTCTGGTACAAGGAATTGAACTCAGGACTTTGCACTTGCCAGGAAGGCTCTTACACCGCTGAGCTATCTCCTCAGCCCTAATGTTTTGTTTTTTTTGTTTTTGTTTTTGTTTTTTTTTTTTTTTGTAGAACCAGGGATTGAACTCAGGCCCTTGCGCTTGCCAGGGAAGTGCTTATTCCACTGAGCCATCTCACCGGCCCCCAGTTCTGGATGTGCTTTCTCGTCTACTCCTTGTGGTCGTTTTTCTTGCCAAGGACCTCTTACCTGATCAGTGTGTGGAATAATCCTTCCCTCTCTACCCCAGGACAGCCCACTGTGCCACAACGCCACAAAGTAACTCTGGGCATGCCTGTGAGCAAGATATACATTCCATAATACTGGCAGATGACTGATAAAGCTCCAGAAGGATAGATAGGTAAAAAAATTCCTGGGCGTGCACCACAGTGAAGAATAGACCTGTTCATGCTCACAACCATGCTTGAGCCATGCTTGCATTCTTGTCTCGGGGACAGTTGACAAGATTAAGAACACAGGACTAATATTAGTGTCTGTGACTTCTAGCCGCTCCACCCTGATATTGCACCTGTACGCCAAGGGCCTCAGCTCAGTGACAGGCTTGTCTGTGTCCTAGAGCCCGAGCCCATCTTTTAAAGCAGGACCTCACTCTAGAATTCAGGCTGGTCTCGAACTCCTGTGGAGAATTAGGCAGGGGCCGGTGGCTTCTGGGGCTGAGGGATAGTAGTAAGGATGTGGTCTGTCCCGAGGCATGAGTGGGCCTTGGAAACCCCGCAGCCCACACCCCGCTCGAGCAGCCTTCTCCTGTGTGCTCCTTCTAATCCCCACAAAGTCTCTTCAAATCCAAGATTCTTGGAGGACTGTTGCCTTGGAGATTCTGAGGGCCACCCACACGAACTCAATAACCCCTCTCGGTTAGCTCCACCAGGGCCAGCAGCCCAGACGCCCGGTGTGCAGGGCGCTGGCACAGCTCAGGTCTGTCCAGGCTGCCCTATTTTCACCTTCTCCTGAGCACTTTAGGTCGAAACTGAGGGTTTATTTTCTGCAACTCCTAGAACACCGGGCCACTGATCTGAAACTAAAACGTATTGGGCTTCTATTCTGATTATATGTTTCACATCCACTTCCCATTTATCCTTCTCTTTTTCTAAGAACACCCTACCACCGAGACCTCCCTGGCTTGTTTCCTCTTCCACAGCGAGGTCTCTGCACACATGGGACCCCAACAGTGGAGCTTTTTTGATCAGCATAGTAAAAATAACATTCTGCTCCTAAAAACCCACCTGAGCCTCCTTTATTCACCGTCTCTGTACCTGTGTTTGTTTTTCTTCCTAA